ACCGAACGCTGCGTTCAGATAACACAAGAATATTGGTTTTCCAATAATCATATACATTAAACTTAAAACTGAACCTGAACTGTAGATGACCATAAAGAATTGAATATAAGATTTTATTTACCATAAATTTTGTTATGTCACCATTTTTGAAATAAGGAGATACTGTGTGTTTGCCCTAACCCCCTAGAAAAACCATTGAGATTTTGCTTCTAGCTACGTAAATTTCTTATTCTCTAGAAAATCATCATTGTTGCGATGGTTGGTAACAATAGAAGCCTTGCGATAATTTTCAGACAGAAATTTGCCAAGTGGCGTTTTTTGTGCCGAAGCAATTACCTGCTGAGAAGTTCCTATATGGACATGAAGAATAATTTTGCTCGCACTATGTAAGCTTATGTCAGAAATGTGAGGAAAATCCCACAAATGAACTAAACGAACAAATTTTGTTAATAAGTTATTTGTCTTTAATTTAAACTCAATGTTTCTCCGGTGATGAGTAGGAACTAACTTCTTTACCAAAGGAGGCACCTCAATAATTTCTTAATGGGGGCATATAGCATGGTTTCTTGATCTAGACAAATATTCTTACTAGGACTTACATGCATCTATGCCAATTTTCACTTACCGTAATCATGCGATAATTCCCGTCAATGTATAAAACCTATAGTAAGCCAAATTATTTTACAAATTTTTCTTTTAGTGTTTAAATAGAAACTCAGTATTATGTAAGCTACAGCTATGATTTGACTGAACCGCACAACAAGGAAATCCCCTACGCATTGACAATCAGTTGGCAATTTACGTCAAATTCGCGCATGATCAGAAATTTTCTTTAGCTACTCAGCTTTTTCTTAGCTCTCTAAACTTTTCAGAGTGTAAAATTGTTTTCAGCGGAAAATTACTCTAAGAGCTGCCACCAAGCCAGCCAAATCTTCTGTTATGCCACTACGAAGTGCTAATTATTTAAAAAATAGCACTCAAAGCAAAATTTTTTTGTTTTCCCATTATGACATGCCCCACTTCTTAGAGTTTAAAGCAATGGGATCACGTAAAACCGAAACCATTAGATAAAATGTTTGTTGGGGCCTTAATCAGCGAGGAAGAACATTGCTTCAGGAAGCTTTGGTCTGAGCTTTTTGCAGACATGATCACCTGCTGGCTTTAGTACTGCTGTCAATTGTCATACCTCTATGAAATTTCATGGTACCGAATGGTCATTTATCTGCACTCGACCAATGCAA